GGGAATGTGGACTTGGTACATTCCCAGACGTTTTGTTAGCATCATCAATGAGTCTTGCCAGTCTCAGCAACCAAACTACAACTCATCAAAGAGACAAGTCAATTCCTTGACCACATTTCTGTCGGGACGGTTATGCTATCACTCCTCTTTCTGTCCTGGCCTCATTATCTATTTCATACCCTCATGTCTCACCATCGTCCTACCACAACTGACATGTTTATATTCCACAAGAGATGTGCCCTTTTGGTGAATTTTCGTGGCGTCATCATACCTACTGTTTGCCTTGCTCCCCTACCTTTCGAGTGGCTGATCCTGCTCTAGTCTCCTGTCTGGATCTGCCTCATGGGCCCCTAGGTCCGTTTCTTACCTTTCTAGTTCACCAGCGTACTTTTACTCCAAGTGCTGTTTCACAATCCTTTAGTAGCAGGTACAAAGTCGGCTTATCTTCATGCCTGAAAATATTAGGCATTACCCTGGTTGCCTGCTGCATCTCAACTAGATGATTAGCCCATTTAGTCACAATGCCAGATTTCTGTGACCCAATCCATCTCCCTTGTCACGTGAAACGTCGGGCCTCTGAATTTTAGTTGTCTATTGGAGCTGACTACTATCACTGAAAACGTCTTCGCTGCATTTCCGAAACCTCTTCACCCTCTTCTTTCTTCCGATCCCTTTCCTCTGGTTTACGATAGATCTTTGATCAAAGCGTATCATTTTTGCTTGTCTTGTTGTATTCCTGTTTTCTCCGAGTTTGATTAGGCAATAGGCAAAGTTATCACTGACTCTGCCTTCTTTCAATGTCTTGTTCATTTATTTTTTTCCTCCAAAAATGTCTGTGGCTTCCCTAATCTTACGTTTCTTCGTGCCTTCATTGCACGAGGCCATTATAACTGTTATCTTCCAATTGATCTCGTGTCCAGTTTCTGCGATATGTTGCGCTATATCTAAGAACGTTGCCTATTGCCTAATCAAACTCGGAGAAAAGAGGGTTGCCTAAGACAAGCAAAAAGGAGACGCCTGGATCAAAGATCTATCGTAAACCAGAGAAAAAGGGATTGCAAGGAAGAAGATGATGAGGAGGCTTTGGAAATGTAGCGAAGACGTTTTCGGTGAGAGTAATCAGCTCCATTAGATAATTTCATAGATTGATGTCCACCGTTTGCTCAGGGTACACAGGCTTAATTGAGGAGAGATGCGTGAAGGTAATGCCTAATATTCGCAGGCATGAACATTAGAGCCTAGGAGCTCTGAAAATAAGAAGACTTTGTACCTGCTACTTAAGGATTGAGAAATGGCAACTGGAGTAAAATTAAGCTGGGGCTATTACTGAGTGAAATCGGTGAACCAGAAAGATAAGAAACGGACCAAAAGGCCCATGAGGCATAACCGGACAGGAGACTAGAGCAGGATCGGCCACTCGAAAGGGAGAGAAGCAAAGCAAACAGAGGGTGCGATGAAGCCACGAAAATTCGCCCAAGAGGCACATCTCTGTGGAATATAAACATGTCAGAAGTTGTGATAAGACGAGGGTGAGACAAAAGGGTATGAAATGGATAGAGGGGCCAGGACAGAAAGAGGAGTGATAGCATAGCCATCTCGATAGAAGGCTGGTCAAGGGATTGACTTTACTTGTCTCTTTGATGAGTTGTAGTTTGATTGCTGAAAATAACAAGACTCACTGATGATGTCAGCGAAACGTCTGGGAATGTACCAAGTCCACGGTCCGCCTCTGGAAATGATCATGCATACTATGGACTCCGGGCAAGGTGCGTTTCTGTAAAAGTTAAAATTCTGCTTTACAGAATCACGTTAAAGCTATTTTATATTGCTTTATCCTATGAATATTTATGTTAAACGTAGAGAAGTGTCCGCACAACATTCTTATACTTAAAGAGCAAAGTACATAGATGACACGGAATGTGATGCAAGGATTTTTGAGATCGTTTATTTATCTCGACCAAATAGCCAGAGGTTAAAGCCATCGAAAAAACACTTCAACCACGCAAACCTGAGCTGAAAATACTGACCTGCCCAAAGAATCCTCGTGTGAGCGCGCGCAAGACTGGTTCTGGGTTACCAGCCGGCTCAGCTTCCACCCAAGGCAATCCAAGGCGACGACATACGGCACCGATTCTGTCTCTTAGTAGTAAAGCGTGCTCCAGGCCTCGTGCATTCAGCCCAGCTTCTCGGCACCAGTTGAAAAGCTGGCGTGCAGGTGCTGAGTCTGAAATAGCTTCCCGCTCACGTTGGTAGGCGACAAAGGCATTAAGCTCTATTTAAATAAGGAAAGTGAATGAGCCTAACATAACACCCATGATCAATTCCTAGCTATCGTTTAATTTATTATGCCTATTAAGAATGGATGAGTAAAAAAGAATCAGAAAATAAACTATAAGAATACGATGTGGAAACAGGAAATTTAAAGATGTGACAGTTAAAACCAATGATGAGTAATTTTTCGCACAATACATAAAGAAAGCTTCAATCAAAGTCAACGCAGAAACAAAAAGAAGATAGAAAGGTTATAAATTCTTCCCTTCTCATTGAATAA